GAAGAAGAAGAAGAAGAAGAAGAAGAAGAAGAAGAAGAAGAAGAAGACCAGGAGCAACCAGGATAAGTAAAGGTAAAGATGTGAAATGTCACCCCCAAATCAATTAATCCAGGCTGCACAGGAACACAAGGCTGTGCTGCCCACGTGGCCTGCAGGAACACAAGGCTTGCATCGCTTGCATTGCGAACAACACGAAGTAATAAGGGGAGGGAGGAAAGAGGGAGGGGAGAACTTGCCCCATATGCCTGGCCTGGCTACCAGGCTGCTTTTTTCTTCTGCTGCTTTTGGCTGCACGCAAGGAAAGCAGCAAAAGTCTTTCTTTCTCTCCCACAAACTCCGCCAGAAATGAGTCTTTGGGACCCTGCAAGGCCTCCTGCTCCAAGAAGCTGCGCCGGCATGACAAATCTCACAAAGACTCATTTCTGGCAGAGTTTGCAGAAGAGAAAGAAAGACTTCTGCTGCTTCTGCTGCTTTCCTTGCATGAAGCCAAAAGTCTCTCTCCCCCACCCACCCCCGAGAACGGAGCTGGAGACGGTATCCTGCGATCCCAAATAAAGAATGATCGATCGATAGGAAAATGGGGTGGGGAATTTTCCTGCAGACTTTTGGGGGGATTTTCCCAAGGTCTCTGGTCTGCAGGAATTAAAATTATGAGTTTGGTGGTCCCTGGGGTCCAAAAAGTTGGTGACCCCTGGTCTGACCAGTTGTGTCCAACTCTAGGGTTGGTGCTTATCTCCATCTCTTAGCTGAGGGACCCAGCCTTGTCCGAAGACACTTCTGTGGTCATGTAGCCTGGCATGACTATATGCCGAGGTGCACAGAGAACACTGTTACTTTCCCACTGAAGTGGTACCTATTTATCTACTTGCATTTGCATGCTTTCAAACTGCACGAGCTGGAGCGAGGAACTGGAGCTCACCCCATTGTGTGGAGCTCAGGTCTCAAACAGTTATAGTGATCATTGGTTTACCATTGGAAGATCTGAAAGACCAGGCCAGAGAGAGATCATCAAGGAGAAAAGCTATCTATAAGACTGCTAGGAGTTGATAAATGACTTGATGACATAGAACAGAACAGAATAGGAATTTAGACTAGACTAGAATAGAATAGAATAGACTAGATTAGACTAGATTAGACTAGACTAGACCAGACCAGACCAGACCAGACCAGACCAGACCAGACTAGACTAGACTAGACTAGACTAGACTAGAATATAGTAAAATTAGAATAGAATAAGAGTAGCATAGAATACAATAGAATTAGAATAGAATAAGAGTAGCGTAAATAGAATCAGAGTAGCATAGCGTAGCATAGAGTAGCATAGCGTAGCATAGAGTAGCATAGCATAGCATAGCGTAGCATAGCACAGCATAGCATAGCATAGAATAATAACTTTATTGAAACTTCGAATGTATACTGATTGGCATACATTAAAATGAAATTTCGTTGCATACAGCTGTCAAAGGGTCACCACCTCCAATATAAACTACATGAACATGACAAAAAATACAAAATTATGTATATACCCATATATATTATGTGGCACAGAGAAACAACACAGTCTAGTTTGGAGATATACATGTACATCCTTGTATACATAATTATAATATAATTATCAACTGGCAGGAATAGTCTGGCAATTGAAATCTAACACACCGCATGATGTGAATGGAAGAATACATCCAGCATTCAGTGGGAAATGTGATGATCAGATATGATATCGGGGGTGGGGAAGCAGAGTCAGAACAAAAAGGATAATCTGGTAGGCTAGAGAGAATGCTACAACCATTATCTAGGTAGTAGAAGAGAGTATTTATATTCAGATTAACAGAGTTGGAAGGGACCTTGTAGGTCATCTAGTCCAACCCCTCACCCAAGCAGGAGACCCTACACCATTTCTGACAGATGGGACTCCAGTCTCTTCTTGAAAGCCTCCAGGGATGAAGCTCCCACAACTTCTGAAGGCAACTTCTGTTCCATGGGTTGATTGTTCTCGCTGTCAGAAAGTTTCTCCTTATTTCCAGGTTAAATCTCTCCTTGTTCAGTTTCCATCCATTATTCCTTGTCTGGCCTTTGTAACTCAGGGTTGAACTGTGGATGCAGTATTCCAGAGGTGTCCTTACTAGGACTTAGTTCTTTGCACTCTTTTCTTTAATTAAAACAAAAACCTGCATCCTGTGTGTTGCAGGTTCTAATAAAAGTGAGAAAACTGCATTTGAGAAGAATAAAAACAAACCTCACAATTTCCCTCCCTTCCACAATTTTGTTCATCATCCACCTACTTTCTTCCTCGTCCAAGGATGAGTCCTCCTCCTCCTCCTCCTCTAGACTGTCCATGTACACCAGGATGCTTTCCTTGTAGAACCTCGTGGCCAGATCCCGTGGGGTCTCACCGTGGTCATTCCGGGCTTTCAAGGCGTGGACCAACGTGGGCATTTTGCTCACCAAATATTTAAAGCAGTGCAGGTGGCCTTCCATGGCAGCCAGGTGAACTATGAGACGATAAGGAAGAGGAGTCACACATTTGAGCTAATCTGACAGTGACAGATGAACAGAGTTGGAAGGGACGTTGTAGGTCATCTAGACCAACCCCCCTCCCAAGCGGGAGACCCTACACCATTTCTGACAGATGGGACTCCAGTCTCTTCTTGAAAGCCTCCAGTGATGAAGCTCCCACAACTTCTGAAGGCAACTTCTGTTCCATGGGTTGATTGTTCTCACTGTCAGAAAGTTTCTCCTTATTTCCAGGTTAAATTTCTCCTTGTTCAGTTTCCAGCCATTATTCCTTGTCTGGCCTACAGGCTCTTTAGAAAATAGCTTGACCCCTTCCTCCTCTCTGTGGCAACCCCTCATATAGTGGAAGACCTCTATCATGTCTCCCCTGGTCCTTCTCTTTACTAGACTAGCCAGGCCCAGTTCCTGCAACCGTTCTTCATATGTTTTAGTCTCCAATCCCCTAATCATCCTGGTTGCTCTTCTCTGCATTCCTTCTCAACATCTTTTTTATACTGTGGTGACCAAAACTGGATGCAGGACTGTAGGTATGAACCTACAACCTAATCTGGACCAAACCTTCCCCAAACTGACATATTTTAGATAAGTTGTGTTAACAACGCAACCTGCTGGGAGTAATCCCACTGCAAAATAAGACACCACATTGTAGAAATCTCTGCAGAGTATCAGAAGCTCTTGTGTGTGTTTGTGTTTGTGTTTGTTTTGTGTGTGAGTGTCTGTCCATCTAAGGGAGATGGGCAGTTAAGATATATGAAGTATAAATAAATAGTCCACTCTGTTGTGTTTCCCCAAAGCTGCCTATGGTTGTGAAAATTGCACCTTAAGAAAGCCAGGCAGGAAGAAAACCGACTTGTCTGAGCTGGGGCCAAACAGAACGGATGAAGCTTCTTGGATGAGAAATGAAATGTCTTCAAGGCAAATCCAAGAACAGGGGTCTCTCAAACTCAAGGTCCGCAGCCAGATTCGGCCCATGGGTTGCTTAGATCTGGCCCACTGAGCCGCTCTGGAAACTGCGAAGGACCGGCCTGAGGTACCTCTGCCACCGGGCACCTCCCCGAAATCCGCTTTCATGACGGAGGGTTGTAGGAGGCTGTCTTGGCCGAAAACAGAGCTTGTAAGGACTGCGTGCGCCCCTCTGAACTTCGCTTTCGCTGGCAGAGGGTTGTAGGAGGCCATCACAGCTGAAAATGGAGGGCATTTTCACCGGCAGAGCGCTTGGGATGCCACAGATATCCCGCCCCCTCAACACGAGTGACACGAGTGACTTCAGGCTGGCCACGCCCATCCAGTCGTCCAGGCCCTCCCTGCCCCCCCCCCAAGGTCAAACACAACCCTGATGCCGCCCCTCAATGAAATCAAGTTTGACACCCCTGCCCTTTTGAAAAAGCACCTTTGACACAACCACGATCTGAGTGACTGAGAATCTCCGTGGGCCTCAATGGGATTAGGACTTAACCTGGCAAGTGTGATAAACTCCACCCTAAATGGGGAAAGCTCTTCCTTTCGGAATTTGGAACGGTGTCTTCTGAGCAGTGGCGAGATTCCCAAAATTTTACTACCAAGGTAAAATTTGTGGGTGTGGCTTGATGGGCATGGCTTGGTGGGTGTGGCAAGGGAAGGATATTGCAAAATCCCCATTCTCGCCCCACTCCTGGGGGAAGGTTACTGCGGAGTCCCCATTCCCTTCCCACCCCACTAACCTGCTTTCCAGCTCCATTCTCCTGTCCAGGGCAACCCAAGAAGACCCAGCTGACCAGCTGGGACTCTGGAGGCAGAGAATAGATGGGAGAGGGGCCAGTCAGAGGTGGTATTTGCCGGTTCTCTGAACTACACCAAATTTCTGCTACCGGTTCTCCAGAACCGGTCAGAACCTGCTGAATGACCACCTCTGGCATGACTGGGATGTTTCTCCTATCATACCTGGAAGATTTCCATCTTTATCCGCATCATCTAATGTAGCTCCCCATCGGACAAGAAGCTGGAGGCAGCCTAGCCGGCCGTAGAAGGCAGCATTGTGTATAGGTTTCCAGTCATTCTTATCAGAAGCGTTGACATCCTGGTTGTTATAAATGGAAGGAAGCCAACACAATTTCAGAGGGAGTTGTGTGTGGTAGGTGAAAAGAGTAAACACAGAAGCATTAAAAGATTTGTGTTCCTTGGATTACATGGTTTAGCTGTTTCTTCCTCCTTGGCTTGAGGCACAAAGAACAAGGGCTATATACTAAATTAGAGGAGCGCATTGGCTCAAGAAGCTGAGCTTAGCGATCAGAAAGGTCGGCAGTTCAGCGGTTTGCATCCCTAGCGCTGCATAATGGAGTGAGCTCCCGTTACTGGTCCCAGCTTCTGCCAACCTAGCATTTCGAAAGCATGTAAAAATGCAAGTAGAAAAATAGGGACCCCTTTGGTGAGAAGGTAACGGCGTTCCGTGCACCTTTGGCATTTAATCATGCTGGCCACATGACCATGGAGACATCTTCAGACAGCGCTGGCTCTTCGGCTTTGTAACGGATATGAGCACCGCCGCCTAGAGTCGAAAATGACAAGCACAAATGTGCGAGGGGAACCTTTACTGTTATACGCTATGTTGCAGTTCAGAAGATTTACTGCTCAAACCTGTATACAAGAACCGAGTCAACTAAAGTTTAATGGATGTCAGGCATATGCCAGAGGCTTGACAGTAGACTATACAAGGAAAATAAATACCATGAAAAGACTAGCCTCTAAGGCATTAGAGGATGAGTATAAAGGACTTGAAAAAGAGCCACAGAAAATGCCACAGAAAAAAAGACATTAAGTTAAAAATGGATGTAATCAAACATAAAATGGGTCTAATAGAAAAAGAAGAATTAGCACAGAAAATCAGAGGTGCTAAACAGAACTATTTTGAAGATGCAAATAAACCAGGTAGATGGTTAGCATATAAATTGAGAAAGGAGAAAGAATCAAGGAAAATATTGCAATTAATAGATGACCAAGGCCAAGTTTGCTATCATAGTAAAGAGAAGAAGGAAATCATTCAAGACTATTATGTACTATACACACAAGAGAATATTGATGAGGAAAGAGTTAAACAGTATTTACAGAATGCTAATTTACCCCAGATACCTAAAGAGATTGAAACAATGTTAGAAAGCAATATAACAATGATGGAGTTAATTGAAGCACTCAAGAAGCAAAATAATGGAAAGGCACCAGGCCCAGATAGACTTCCGGCAGAATTTTACAAAACACTACAAGAATCGTTGAACCTTCCATTGCTAGAAGTTATGAATGAGTTATGTTAAAGAAGAAGATACCTAAATCATGGTCAGAAGCTTATATTACACTTGTCCCAAAAGAGGAGACCGATCCATTACAAATCAAGAACTATAGACCAATTTCCTTACTAAATGCAGATTATAAAATTTTTGCTTCAATATTGGCAGAAAGACTTAAAAAATACTTAAACAATTTTATCCATCCTGATCAAAATAGATTTCTGCCAAAGAGACAAATTAAAGATAATATGAGAGTAATCTTGGACACTTTGGAATACTACAAGGCACACTCTGAAAAACAAATGGCTTTGATATTTCTAGATGCACAGAAGGCATTTGATAATGTGAATTGGCGATTCATGTTATTACATCTGGAACAGATGGGCTTTGCTAAAAAAATTATTCAAGCAATAGAAGTTATATATCATAAGCAAACGGCAAAGGTAATGATACAGGGAGAACTGACAGAC